CTGACCACAGCCTGAGCCTTGCCTGTGGCCATGGTCCCTGTTTGTTTCCAGAAGGAGCAGCATGAAGCCCTTGAGGGCAAAGGGCCTGTAAAAGCATTTTACAAACTGGGGAAACTGTGCCCACTGCTCAGCCATCTGTGGGGTCATGGGAGGTGGTAGGCAATGCTGGCGAACCCAAGAAGTGGACCAGGGCTTGGACATGAGAGGCCTGCCCTGCTCCCTAGGGCCCACTTGACCATAGTCGGTGTCTTCTGTTCATGAACAGACCTCTTTATTTCTCAGAGAAGTATGGCCTATTTGCATTTTCCAGTGTGGATGTAAAAAGGTTCCAGGGAAAGTAACCTCACAGGGTGATCCAGCTGTAAATTCCTAACAGGGCAGGTCATGGTGAATACTCACACTCCAGGCCTATAAGAAGGTTTATCTTTGCCTTAAGGCGAAGCCCTGTCCATTGTTCCTGTGCCTCTAGGTTAAAATGCCTCTGAAATGCCAGGAGTAATCCTCTTTTTCAAACCCCTCAGTGGTGTAACCACTCTCCGGAAAGCACATGATCTTGTTAACTGTCTTGTAACCCGGATCACAGAGATTTCCCCCCACCTTGCTTTCTCTCCCCTTCATGTAATATTCCTTACATTCCCTCCTTAATTCCAAATGTATAAAAAGAACCGCAAAACTGTCATTCACCTGAGTATTTGAGATCTTGCTTCCCAGCATGTCACCAGCTTGGCTCACATAAACTCTTATAAAAATTCTCTATAGGTTTAGACATTTTTAAGTCAATAGTATGTCATGAGACTAAATTAGAAAACCAATATATTGGGTGTCCATATCAGTGTAAACAATAGAAATGAATAGGTAAACAAATGCACAAACCCTTCAGTCTGCTCTAACTTCTTTTTTTTTAAGATTTTATTTATTTATCTTTAGAGAGGAAGGGAGGGAGAAACATCCCACATGCAAGAGATACATTGATTGGTTGCCTCTCTCATGCCCCTAATTGGGGACCTGGCCCACAACCCAGGCATGTGCCCTGACTAGGAATCAAACTGACAACCTTTTGGTTCACAGGCCAGCACTCAATCCACTGAGCCACAGCAGCTAGGGCTGCTCTAACTTCTTTTAAAATAAACCCTAATTAGCAAACTCAGATGCTCTGTTGCTCATATCGTGTCACTTGGGACCCCAATTATGGGCCCCAGCTCCTTGTCTTTGAGGTCCCATCTATTGGACACATTTGCAGAGGCTGCATCGGACTCACGATGAGCCCTGCAGAGGCCCAGTGGGGCTTTCTCCGACTCAGGAAGATCTAGAGCAGCCACCCAGGCCTACGCTATGGGTGGGACCCAAGTAGCTGATGCCCAAGGGGATAGGGGAACTCCAAAGTGAAAGATTTTAGCTTCAGTTACAGTTGATAAGCTTAAGTGATTAATGCTGTGGAAGTCTGTTGTTCCAGGAACTGGAATAGTGACCTATAGGACTCCTGGAGGTCAATAAGCAATTCAACCTTTGTGCCCCAGGGGGTCTGCAAGGGATGGAGAGGGTATTTGAGCCACTGTGTTCCAGGGAGGGGACATCTATGATGCAGATAAGGAGTTGTTGATCAGTAGATAAAGAAATACCAGGAAATCACAGCTGGACAGTGACTCTTATCTGATTAACCTTTTTCCAAACCCCTTACCCTTTTCTTCTCCTTATAAAAAGACCGGCTTGGGATGAGACATTAAGACGGTTTTTAGAGCACATAACCCACCATCTGTCTTCTCAGATCACTGGCATCTGAAGGAAGTGCCCATAAACATTCAATCCTTGCCTCTACGTATTGGTGCTGGTAGGGATAGGCAGCATGAATGCCAATTGCTCCAGCTTCAAAAGGGCCTCAAGTCTTCAGCTTTCAGCAGAGGTTCCATGCATGGCAGCAGAGGCTGCCAGCCCATATGGACTGGGAAGAGGCACCACAGGGAGCCTGACTTATGAGCAGAGCATGTGCTGGATTTCAGGAACTAGATGCCATTTTGGCTAGATACCTTGTGCATTGCCTAACCTGCAACTGGCAGGAGCCCACTGACCACACGTTCCACCAGTAACTCTGAGGATGGCTGGGTGACTTACGTTTCTCCAGGCAGACTTCCCACCCAGTAGTTTGACCTGTGCTCATGGCCTACAGGCCCACTCCTTCCCAAACTAGAAACCCACTCCTCACCTCCTTAATCCCCAGCCCTTTAGCCCCTCAGCTGACTGGCACAAAGCAATGTTGGTGTTAGGTTGTGGCCTAAGGTCAGGATGAAAAAGAACATCATTCCAGCTCAGCACAAACAATGCACAAAATTAAATGCTGGCCATCAGCTGTTTCCTGTCCTGCCATACCTCACTCTTCTTCGTGGATTCCAGCCCCCACCCCCATCTGAAATGCTTGTTTCCCATTCACATTTGTAGGAATTTTGCCCTCCACCCCACTCCTGCAGGCCAAATGTGTGTCCACATTTTTAAGCCCTCCCAGGCACCTATCAACCCAGACCACAACAACCTTCAGCAGCAGTTTATTTTTTAACAAGCTGTACCTACTCATAGATGTGCCCCCTTGCCCACCCACATAGAGAAATGGACAAAGAATGACAGGAAAATGTATTCTTCTGGGATTATTTTTCTTCTCCCCAAGCATTTGGTCATATCCTCACCTCACCATTTTTAATCTGTTAAAGCTAATCTCAGACATATTTTAGTTGTGAGCATAGGTCACAGTTTTATCATAAGCTGGTTAGCAAAGGAACTCGTCAAGGAAAACAACACAATAGCTTCCTTCAGAATCTTGGATGAAGCTGTGTAATGTAATGAAGTGATTTGGAGCATAAACACTAAAGCCAGGCTATCTGGTTTCATTCCCAGTTTTGCTCCTTTCTAGCTGTGTGACCTTGAGCAAGTTTACTTAACCTCTCTGTGCCTCTGTTTTCTCACCCATGGACAATGGATAGTAGTAGTACTTACCTCATAGGGTTGTTATTGTTGTGCCTGAAATCCAATTGAATTCATGTGAAATGAATGAATTAATGTAAGCTGCTAGTATAGTGTCTGGCATACAGTAAGCATAGTAAGAGTGTTAGATATTATTATTAGCAAGTTTATATAAGAGAAGGAAAAAGAATGTCACTTTTGTATCATCTGTGTGAGTTAAACCTGCATCATACCAACCAGGACCGTCCTTCCAAATTGCCAGGTATGGGCTCAGTTAATCAGAAACACCAGTTGCAGAAGATTTTTGTTGTTTTGCTTGGTTTAATTCTGAGCCTGGGATAGCTTTCTTTCCCAGACTCCAGCCTGTATCCCGAATGATTTTAAGGAGCATCTTTTAATTAAACATCCTAGGGAGTGGGAGGTGGCATGGGATGAGTGAGTTGAGTGCGCAGAGCCATAGGAAGCTCCAGAACCCCCTGCCCAACCCTCTGCTGGCCTGACTGTCCTGTGGAGGAGGGGAAGCAGGACTGCAGGAGAACTCAGCCAGGCTGAGCTGGAAGTCAAGAGGGGCTGGGCAGCTTCCCAAGGGCTGGCACAGTGCCTCCTCCTTCTCCACCCCCAAGTGGCCAAGCTGCTCAGGACCTGACACAGAGCATTCAGTTAATAAAGCTGTGTTGATGTTGCCTGGTAGAAACAAAGCCAAAGACACAAGGTCACCTGACATTTAGTAGTTCTAGCCAATAGAAATATAATACCAGGCACATTTTATTTTATTTATTTTTATTTTTATTTTTTATTTTTCATTAACTTATTAGAAAAGAAAAATAATTCCCACAGACAAAATTGCTAAATCCTTTGCTGCTTTAAACTTTTTTAATTTATTGGTTTTTAGACAGAGAAAGAGAGAAAAACATTGATTTGTTGTTCTACTTATTGATGCATTCATTGGATACTTCTTGTATGTGCCCTTACCAGAGATCAAACCTGCAACCTAAGCATATCAGGATGATATTCTACGGCCAGGGCTAAAAGAAGTATGCCAAGTCATGAAAGGGAAGGACCTACATCCAAGATTGCTGTATCCAGCAAAGCTATCATTTTGAGTAGGGTAGATAAAGTACTACCCAGAGAAGGTCAAGTTAAAGGAGTTCATCATCATCAAGTCCTTATTATATGAAATGTTAAAGAGACTTATCTAAACAAAAGAAGATAAAAAATATGAACACTAAAATGACAACAGTCTCACAACTATCAACAACCAAACCTAAAAGACAAACTAACCAACTAAGCAAACAACTAGAACAGGAACAGAATCACAGAAATTGAGATCACATGGAGGGTTATCAGTGGGAATGAGTAAGGGAGAGAATGGGAGAAAAGGTACAGGGAATAAGAAGCATAAATAGTAGGCACAAAATACACTGGAGAGGTTAAAAATAGTATGGGAGATGGAGCCAAAGAATTCATATGTATGACCCATGGACATGAACTAAGGGGGGGGGATGTTGGTTAGAGGGGGATACAGGGTGGAAGGGAATAAAGGGGAGAAAAGAATGGGACAACTGTAATAGCATAATCAATAAAATATATATATAAAAATTTTAATAGACACAAAACAAGTGAAATTAATTGTAGTAATAGTTCATTTAACCCAGTTTATTTAAAGTATTATTTCACATGTAATCAAATATGAAGTTATTATCTTTCATTTCATTTTAAGTCTCTGAAATCCTGTGTGTATTGTATGCTTCTTGCACATGTCAACTAAGACTAGCCTCTCTAGGGGAGGGAAAAAAACTTTTCCTTTTAGATTCAGTTACTGGGGCCTCTGAATTAAACTGACAAAAGACTGATTAAGAGGAGAAAAAAAGTGTGTTTCATATGTATACAAGAACCAACAAAGGAAGTAGCTGCCTCATTTAATGATTAAAGTTAAAGACTTACATTCCTAAATTAGGAAAAGGGAGGGGAAAGAAATGGCTTCTATGAGGAAAACAAATAGATTTCTTTAGGAAGACAAATGGCCTGTTGGGCGCACAGACTTAAGATAAGGCTTGTGATAATGTTTGTCTATAAAGGAGGAATGGTCTTTCATCTTCTTCAAGCATTAAAACTCCCCTGGAGAGGGCATTCATGGCAGCCTCATTTCCTAGGAGTTGCTGCCTTTTGTCAGATAAAAGAAGCTCCCAGGAGTCTTTTCTCTGCATTTGTTAAATTTCAAATGTCTCCAGCTTAAAGTAATCTTTATGCCAACTCCGGAATTCGGAGGACGTCCTGACACCACATTTCTAGTGCCCAACAGTGGCTACCGTATTGGATTGCGCAGGTGCAGAATCACCAGATCGCGGAGTCGCAGGGCTGCACAGCCCTGGAGGTCCCAGCAAGCACCCCTCTGCTGCCTCTCTGACCAGCGTTGGCCTGCACTCTGAGGGTCTCCCAAGCGCAGAGTGCCCAGCCTCCTTGAAGCAAGCTGTGAGGTGGAAGCTGTCATCTTGAGCTGAAATCGCCCTCCTGGCTGTGCATCTCAGTATCTTTTCCAATCCGCTGGGGCAGGGCGGGGGCAGGCAGGAACTGTGTTTCATTTCACCCAGAGGGTCAGTGTCCTGCAGCACGCGGGGGGAGGGGCTGCTCACGCACTACAAAGTCCTGCTTGCTCTGCAAGGCGGTGTCTTCTCCGAGGCCTTGGGAGGAAGAGCCAGCGTTTTGGGGACAACCTTTGCGAACACTCACCACCCCTCCAGAGCAGAAAGCCTGGTCCGACTTCCAGCCCACCTCCGCCACCGGCCTGGGCTCTGGGGATCTCTCCTCCCCCAGTTGGGAGAGGCCTTTCCTGTGTGGCGGTGGCACAGCTCCCACTCTCGATCGAACCGGTTCCAACCAAGTCCCAGGGGCGTCTGGAGAAATCTTGGAGACCTTCCTGTCCAAGCCACCTGGGGAGGGTGGTGCCTGGCCAGCCTCTGCTCCTTGGCCATAACATCAGGTGAAGACCGCGGGGACTTGGTGGCAAGGGCGGGAAGCTCCCGGGAACCCTGATGTAACTCGGCGCCAGGCTTGCAGGAGAAGCCCCCAGAGCCCCCGCCTGTTTACCGTAGGGGGAAGGTGATAGAAGTGGAGCCCCAGCCGCCTTCTTCCTGCCGCGCCTGCGGAGCCTCCCACCTCTTGCTGTGGGCCTGCTGACAGGGTTCTCAGGATCCGAAGGTCAGGAGTCCTCCGGGGGTCCCTAGACATGGCTGGTACTGGTCCTTTTTCAACCATAGACGTTTTATGACCTGAAGCAGTGACAGTGCCAAGGGGTGAGTCCAAAAGGACTTGAGCCCCCAAAACAACTCAAAATACCATTTAGACCAGAGGTGTCAAACTCATTTTCCCCTGGGGGCCACATCAGCCTCCATGGTTGCCTTCAAAGGGCCAAATGTAATTTGAGGACTGTATAAATGTAACTACTCCTTAACTAGGGGCAAGGAGCTGGGTGCTGCGGTGAGGCAGAAACACAGTGCCAGGCAGATAAAACAAGGTAGGGGGCCAGATTCCGCCGGAGGGCCTGGTGTTTGCCACCTGTGTTCTAGAGGGTTGAAGAGCAGAACTGCCTGGGGGCCAGGCCTCAAGGTGACCTCCAAACTCTGCATCCAGTCAGCCCATCCAGGCCTCCCAAGGGAGCCGGTGGAGGAGAGCTGGAGGCCTGTGTTCACCCTAGCTGAGCCCTCAGGCCAGACACAGGCCTCCCAACCCCAGGGGAGAGGCAGAAGTCAAGACAGAGTGTGGGCAGATGACAACTGGTCTGAGTGGAGCACAGGGTTGGGACAATGCTGTGCCCCGTGCCCACTGTCAGAGGTTTTTTTTCTAGACTCTCAGTACCCTGGTGAGGCAGTTGAGCTGAGTCCAGATAAGGGATCTGAGACCAACAGAGATCAGGGTAGCCCCAGGTCACCCTGGGTGACAGAATTAGGACCCAAACCCCTGCTTCCCAGTCCCTCATACTTTCGCTCCTGAGAGGGTAAGAGCCCTGTGAGCAAGAGAAGGTCAGGTCTGAGCTAGGCAAGGCCAGAGGGTCTAGATTTGGAGAGGGTGTGGGGTGGAGAGGGCTACCTGAGCTGGGGGTAAAAAGATGGGAGGGTGCCTTGGGGAGATAACAGCCTGGGGAAGCTGTAAGAGGTGAGGGTACGGCAGGTCTGGCCAATAGATGACCCTGGCTGGTGTGGCTCCATGGATTGAGTGCTGGCCTGTGAACTGAAAGCTGGCTTGATGGCCAGATCCCTGGTTGGGGGCTAGTGATGTTTCTCTCCCTCTCTTTTTCCCTCCCTTCCCCTTTCTAAAAAAAAAAAAAGCAGACCAGATGCAGGATCAAGTACTGTTGTTGTTGAGACTAAGCTTTTTGGTCCTGCCTCCACTTCAGGCTCCCACTTGCCAGCCCTTGGGCCTGTTCTTTTTCCCTGTGGGGCTCAGTTTCCTCACGTGTAAAATGGGGTCAGCTCCCTGTTCTGTTTATAACTGAGAAGGTGCTTTGTGACTGGCTTTACATCTTGAGTGTGTGAGAGGCTCATATATAAATGTGACAAAGGGACTGGTGTCAGGGGAAACCTCTTGGAGGGGCTTCTCCCTCCCCTGATTCCCTGGCTCCAGAGGAAGAGACCCTAGGCACTGCTCCCCTGCCAACCCTGCAGGCATGTCTGGGATACCCCTGGGCTTAGCAAATATTGGTGCTTCTGCTTTAGTCAGTAGCTGCTGGAATGTGCTGTTCTGCTGCCCATTTTCCCACCTTCTACCTCAGGCTGTGAAGATCCAGGAAGGAGACAAAAGTACAGGGTTGGGGCTTCTGGGTTCTTTCCTCCAGTCCCCCCTACCCCCACCCTCTGCCTACTCCTCCTGCGCCCCATTGCCCCAATTTGTTCCTGAAGTTCAGAGCCCTGTGCTAGGCACTGTGCAGCGACAAGAGACATGTGGCTCTAAAGAGCCTCTTCTGCCCTGGCTGGGTGGCTCAGTTGGTTAGAGGATCGTCCCAATAGGCCAGGGTTGTGGGTTTGATCAGGTTAGGGCACAGAGAAGAAGGAACCAGTGAATGCATAAGTAAGTGGAAAAATAAATCAATGTTTCTCTCTGTCCCCCTCTCCTCTCTCTAAAATCAATAAATCTAATTAAAAAAAAAAAAAAAAAGAGCCTCTTCTAAGAGCCAAGACTGTGGGTCCACATGTGAGCTCAGCAGATGTCCTGCTGTGTGGTCTTGGGTGAGTCCCATTACCTCTCTAAACTAGTTTCCTCATCCCTGAAATGATGGTGAAGTGGTTTGGTTCAGTGCCTGGGACTTTGTAACTGTTCTTCCCTAGGCTTACTAACATGGCTCTGTACTATACCCCCAGAAGTTTGGGCCTGCCCAGTTTAGCCAATAAAAATAACAAGAGTAAGAAGTTGCTGGTATTATTGAGTACTCTGCACAATAACATGCTGGCAAATGTTTAACAATTAGCCCTAAAAGAAAGTCTTATTTTGCAGCATTTGCATGATTTCTGTGTTGTTAAGATTACCACGTGGCCCTTTCAAGCTTTTGCCACGATGTAACTGAGTTCGGAGTCAAGAGCCAGTGAGCTGGTTGCAGCAGGACACTGCACATAGGACTGGCTACAGAATTGGCCAGGCCCAGTGCAAAATAAAATCACAGGGTCCCTTGTTCAAAGAGCAGGGGACAGCCGTTTCCTTTATTCTGGATTATTCTCTTAATCTGTGATGATTTGTTTGTTTGTTTTTTTGTTTGTTTGTTTGTTTAGAGGGGGTGTGATGAAGAAGGAAACTTTAAGTGCAGAACAGCTCACTGGTGATACAGCGTGGCTGTGGAACAGCTCAATTAGATACAACACAGCCATGAAAACAGCACTGAGTGAAGAGGCTCTGGGGTGAGGAGCCCCAGGGCATGTTCCCCTCAGGCTGGCCAGCCAGACAGGTCTGCTCTGCCTTGAGCAGCTCCACTCTGCTCCAGTGAGACATCGTTGGTGTTTCACTTTGGTGTTTCAGCTCCAACCTGGGAAATGCAGTGTTCAGTCTTTGGTGGAAAGGGAAAGTGCCTCTTTATTTATTTCATGTCATACTCCTTCCTGCAAAGTGATCCCAAATACACTCAGGGCAAGTGCAGAACCTGGCATGTAGGGGTGGGGTAGGGGTGCACAAGCCCCGAGACTTGGCGTGCACATATGGGGCTCACTCTATTCCCACGGGCCTGCAGTCCCAACCTCCAAGCCAGGATATGCCAGCATCCAGATTGGAGTGGGAGAGGGGCTTGCTCTGTCGAAGTTGCCCCACTGAACATGCCACATTTGCTGCCAGTCAAGGGAAAGGTGGCCAGTGGTTGTGTTAAGGGAGAAACTCTGTTCTTCTTGCCAATGCAGTAAAGAATTACAGATCAGCAAGTCTATTAGCATGCAAGCAGGGTCTCATGGAACAGACCAGGTCTTGCCAAGGTGGGGGTGAAAGGCATAGGCTTGGGTGGCAAAAAGCAAGAGCTGCAAAAGCAGGGGCGGCAAGAGCATTAGGTCCTATGTCTTGAAGACTTGTACGATTGGTAGGATGGGGATGAGGGCGTTGCATATTGATTGGTGGGTGAAGGTGGTGCCAGCTTCCCCCAGGGTGGGCGTGACTACCCAAACGTAGGTATGTGTGGGGGTCTGTTAGCCCAGAATTCTTATCTTGCTCCAGACCACACTTGCCCATCTTGTTGTAAAACAGATATGTGACAGGAGGCAGTTAATTAAAGTTGAGGCAGTTACCCAAAGTTATTAATGAGCTCTTTCTGTAAGCACTAGTAAAACAGATAATGACCAGAAACAGACAATTAACCAAAGCTGTTTTAATCACAGCACCTTCTTCTTTGGGAGCTGTGGACCCCCTCCTCTTCCCCTTCTAAACCTTGGGATGAATACACAGTTTCAAGGGCTTTCTTTCCCAGATAGTGGAAAAGATACATAGAACTTCAAGGGTTCCCCTCCTCCAGGGCTAACATGGTGTTTCTTGTGAAGTTGGAACACCTGGCAATCTTATCAGACCAGGCTCAGGACCACTGAGTTACCGGGTAAGAATGTCTCCTTCCTCCTCCCTGCCTTGGCTTGTTATCTATTCAACCTAACAGTCTACAGGGTGGGGAGGAGGAGGCCAGGTGAATCTGATGTAACAAGATGAGCAAGCTGGCAGCCAAGAACTTGTACCAAGGAAGCAGAGAGGTAAGACCAAGACCACACTGGGAGAAGGGGGCTCCAAGCCCACTGGACTTCACTTACAAGTCACAAGTTCAATGATGAAATTCTAATTCACCCCAGCGCATTAAACAAAACTCAGAGCCCTTCTGAGGACAGGACCCTGTGGGCTACCCTGTTTTCAGACCCAGGAAGCTGGCCCTGACAGTATATGTCATCCAAGCCAGAGAAGAATGGCCCCATAACATCCTCCCTGAGGAACTTCAGTCTTCATGTCAGAGATACCTGAGGATCTCTGGGGGCAGGAAAGGTCAAAGAGACTCATTCCACAGCACTACCCTCCCCCCATACCCTGAGAAATATTTAAATTGGGGGAAGCATTTACAGGGCATTGCAACTTAACAAAAACTTCTTAAACACCTACAAAATAGAGCCTTGTCATGGAACATTTATCATCAATCATCAGTATCATCTCTCAATTTATATTTGCATTGTGCCACTTTTCTCTCTTTGAAAATACCACTGCCCTGGCTGGTGTGGCTCAGTGGATTGAGCAGCAGCCTGCACACCAGAAGGTCTATGGTTCAATTTTAGATTCCCAGTCAGGGCACATGCCTGGGTTGCAGGCCAGATCCCCAGTTGGGGGTGTGCTAGAGGCAACCAATCGATATTTCCCTCCTTTCCTCTCTCTCTCTAAAAAGCCCCAAGGAAATACTACCTAAAAACGTGTTTCTTGCTTCTAAACAAGTGAGAGTTAACATTTTCAAATCCCCAATTCACTGCCCAGCTGCCCAGTATGTAATGGGTTGCATTCGTTGCTCTACAGGGCATCTGCAACTGCAAGTGTTCTCCATACTGATATTTATCCTAGGGATTGAAGCCAAATGTTGACCCAGTTTTAGCAACTTTAGAACGGTAGTTTCTTGGCTTAAAAAAACAATAATTCCACTTATCAAGAATGGTTGTTCCCTTGAGAGGAATGACTGTGGTGTCCCAGGCAGCTACTTCCTGATGAAGAGAATCTGGAAAGGGCACTTGTCACACCACCCTGACCTAGGCCAGGCCAGGGTGAAATAGTTTTAATATCTCAGGAGTGGCCGATGCTCTGGCAGCTGCTGAAGGGGTGTCTCACCAGGGAGGAGGCCATCAAGTACGGGCAAAGGACGGGAGGACCCCACTCTCCATTCCCCTGGGCTCTGTCCGGACAATGACCCACTGTGGGGGCCCAGGCTCAGCCCACGAGGCAGCAGGCTGTGCTCAACGACAGGGGAGGGGCCTTAGTCCAGTGAGCACTCCCACATGCACACGGATATCTAGACAGGAAGCTGCCTGGGAATCTTAGCCTGGAGAGTGTGTGGGTGCACTGGCCACAGACCACTTTTATAAAAGATCGAGAAAACCTGCCTGATTAAGGAACAGTGAATGTCCCTCTAGCATATTTGTTAATTGGCTTCCTCATAGAAATTCAACTATAGTGTTTTGAGTCTAAACCAGGCCTACCTTACTCTGGTAATCTTAGGCAAATCCCAGAGCATATCCAAACTCAATTTCTCCATCTGTAAAACGAGCAAATGATGCACAGCTTCAAGGTTGTAGTCAGAATTAAACAAAATGCATGTGTATATTTTTATGTCAGACACAAAGCTGGTGCTACAATAAAAGATGGTAATAGGCGGCAATTACTATTATTAGCAATCGCATAAAACAGGGCCCTGCATTTCTGGGTCCCTGGAGTATAGCAGGTGGTATGGGAGAATGTGAATTCACCTATTGGGCCTTGGCTGTGCTGTGCTGTGAGAACAGCTTGTGGGGATGTGACCACAGGCAGCAGCAGTGGTGGTGTGACTGAGCTGCGGTGGGCCCCTGGGCCTTCCTCTCTGCGAGACAGTCAGAACTGGAGCAGGAGCCACGCAGGGCAGGGCGTGGGAGCCCTCAGTCAGCCCTTTCATTTCACAAATGCAGAAATTGTATGTCGACCTGCTCTGAATGCATTACACTAATTCTATTGGCTTCAAAGTGATTTTGGAACGCAGCCAGAATAGCATCTCAGGACAGAAACCTTGGGGTTGATGAACCCCAAAGCATGGGTAAGTTCATTTCCTGGAGTGAAACTTGTCAGTTGGAAACAGAAGATGGGAAGCCACTGGGCAGATAAATTCTCCCTCCTTTTTCTCTTCTTGGACTGCTCCAAGGTGCGTTCCTCTATGCAGCCCTCTGGCCTCACCCCCACCCAGAGCAACACTGAGGCTTGTAGCTGGCACACGAGATACATTACATTCCACCTTTTCTGGGCTTACTTCCTTTTTCTTCACCCCCAGTGACCTGCGCTTGCACCTTGAGAATAAAGGACAGCAGTCATCCCTGATCTGAAGGGGATACATTCCAATGGATGCCTGAAACCAAGTGAGTAGTCCCACATAGGTCCAGCCAAGGCCCAGTAGGTGAATTCACATTCCCTCACACCACCTGCTATACACCAGGGACCCAGAAATGAATCAAGCCACCGAGTTCCACACACCAGCATACTGTCTTTTTTCCTGTATACACATACCTATGATAAAGTTTAATTTATAAATTAGGCACAGTAAGAGATTAACAACAATAACTAATAATAAAATAAGAATATACTATAATAAAAGCTATATGTATGTGGTTTCTCTCTCAAACTACCTTATTGTACTGTACTTACCTTTACACTTAAAGGATGCACTTTCTGGCTTCTCTGTGGCATATCTAAATTGCCGGCATCACTATTTTTGTGCTCTGGGGCCATTGTTAAGTAAATAAGAGTGACTGGAATGCAGCACTGTGGTACCCCAGCAGCTGACCTGAACACAGAGAAGGCTGCTGAGTGGCTGCGGGCAGGCAGTGCGTACAGTGTGAATGTGGGGTGATTTGCATCCTGGGAGGGGTGGAGCAGTGCGATGTGTTTCATCACACTACTCGGAACTGTGCACAGTTTTTAAAAATTGAATGTATTGGGGTGACTTTGGTTAATAAAACCATACAGGTTTCAAGTGTACAATTCTATAACACATCATCTGCACACTGCATTGCACACTCGCCACCCAAAGTCGAGTCTCCTTCCATTATCATTTATCTCCCCTTCCACTGCCCCCTGCCCTCCTTTCCCTCTGGTGATCACCATACTGTGATCTGCGTCTGTTTTCCATTTCTTTCTTTTTTTTGCCTAATTCCTTTACCTTCCTCATCCAGCCTTCCAATCCCCCTTCCCTCTGACAGCTGTCAGTGTGTTCTCTGTATCTATGAGTGTTTCTATTTTGTTTGTTAGTTTATTTTGTTCATTAGATTCCACATACAAGTGAAATCATATGGTATTTGTCCTTCTTCAACTGGTTTATTTTACTTAGCATAATTCTAGGATACTTAAGAAAGAAATTTTGAAGAAGATACAAATTAGTGGATGCATATACCACGCTCATGGATAGGAAGAATTAGCATCATTAAAATTTCCATATTACCCAAAGCAATCTACAGATTCAACACAATTCCTATTAAAACACCAATGGCATATCTCACAGAACTAGACCAAATATTCCACAAATTTTTATGGAACCACAAAAGACCCCACATAGCCTCAGCAATCATGAGAAAGAACAAAGTTGAAGGAATTGTGTGTGCATGGATATCAAACCATACCACATGGCCATAGTGATCAAAACAGCACGGTACTGGCATAAAAACAGAATAGAGAGTCCAGAAATAAACCCATGCCTAAATGGTCAATTAATATTTGACACAAGGAGGCAAGAACATATGATGGGGTTTGGACAGCCTATTCAAAACAGTGGTGGGAAAACTGGACAGATACGTGCAAAACAATAAAACTAGACCACCTTTTTACAACACACACAAGAATAAACTCAGAATGGATTAAAGACTTAAATGTTAGAGTCAAACCCATAAAAATCCTAGAAGAAAACAGACAGTAAAATCTCGGACATTTCTCGTAGCAATATTTTTTCTGATATATCTTCTCAGAGAAGGGAAATGAAAGAAAATAAATAAATAAATGGGACTACATCAAACTAAAAAACTTTTGCACTGCAAGGGAAATCATCAACAAAATGAAAATACAACCCACTGTATGGGAGAACATATTCGCCAATGGTACATCTGATACATGGTTACTTTCCAAAATTTATAAAAAACTTATATAACTCAACACCAAGAAAATGGACAATCCAATTAAAAAATGGGCAAAGACTCTGACTGGTGTGGCTCAGTTGCTGGGGCATCACACTGCAAAGCAAATGTCGATGGTTTGATTCCCAGTCAGGGCACATGCGTGATTTCCAGGGATCAATGTTTCTCTCCCTCTTTTTTTCCCTCCCTTCCCCTCTCTCTAAAAATAAATACAATATTTTAAAAATTGGCAAAGGACCTGAATAGACACTTTTCCAAAGAGGACATACAGATGGTCAATAGACATGTGAAAAGATACTCAACATCACTAATCATCAGAGAAATACAAATGAAAACCACAATGAGATATCACCTCACAAATGTCATAATGGCTATCGTCAATAAATCAACACATGACAAGTGCTGGTAAGGATGGGGAGAAAAAGGTACCCTTGTGTGCTGTTGGTGAGAATGCAGATTGGTACAGCCAGTATGGAGAACAGTATGGAGTTTCCTCAAAAAATAAAAAATGGAACTGCCTTATGACCCAACAATTCCACTTGGAGAATATATCCAAAGAAATTCTAAACAGTATATTCTTTTTAAAGAATATATGCACCCCTATGTTCATTGCAGCGTTATCTATAATTACAAAGATCTGGAAGCAGCCCAAGTGCCCATCAGTACATGAGTGGATAAAACAGCTGTGGTACGTTTACACAGTGGAATACTACTTGGCTGTAAAAAAAAGAAGGAAATCTTTTGCAACAGCATGGATGGAGCAAGAGGGCATTATGCTAAGTGAAATAAGAACAGTGTGCAATTTAAAACTCATGAATTATTTATTTCTGGACTTTTTCATTTAACATTTTTAGATCTTGGTTGACCAAAGGTAACTAGGCTGCAGAAAGGGAAACCACAATAATGGGGACTACATTAATTCTTGTGTCAATCTCTTTTTCAGAAGACCCAGAATAAGGTAAGGTAACACTTCCAAATTATTCAAATTTATAACAGGATTTTCAATATAAAAGATCTCATATAGAATATTTCTATACATTTAGACAACAGTTTCCAAATACATGACCACACATACGCATTCCTCTGGGGCAGGAGTCACAGCACCGGAAGCTGCAGGTGGATGCCTGGGGGATCCATTTTGCGCGTGTAGATGCTCTCTCTTGCCTACAGTGCTACCTCGAATATATGTTGTTCTGCCTCATATCTGACTTAAAGCTCTTCATTGCAATACTCAGAGCCTCCTGCCAGAGATTTGCCCTTTATTTCAAATTTATTGTGCATGTTGCTGAGAGAGCTGAGGGTTCTTGTACTCTGCAGTCAGGAATTCCTTCTATAATTCGTTCCTGTGAGGTTTGTTTTCCATACCAACAGCTAACTTTCCAACACCAGCTGGGTGTCCAAAAACTTAACTCAGTTCTGACACAATCTACCTGGAAGTAGTGTCAGATCCTGTAAGTTAAAGGACTCTGCCCCACCGGACTGCTCCCACTTCAGACATCAGTTTAAAAGGGAGTGTCTGGGCTACTACCCACACTTCTGCTGGCCTGACTACAGATTCAGGGATTCCCACACCCCCTCCCCCAAGTTCAGTAATTTGCTAGAATGAATCACAGACCTAAGAAAAATATTTCACTTATGTTTACTGGTTTATCATACAAAATACATACAGACAGCCTAATGGAAGAGATGCATGGGACAAGACCTGGGGCCGGGGAGGGCGCAGAGCTTCCCTGTCCCAGTGCCCTGCCCTCCCAGCACCAGGATGTGTTCTCCAACTTGGAAGGTCTGAGTCTCACTGCTGAAGAGTTTTCATAATCCAACTGTTAGGTCTTCCACTCTCAACGCTACAGGTTAGGGTGGTTTGCGGGGATGGACTTGAAAATCCCCACCCTTTAATCAAGTCTTTGGTCTCTCTTTGGTCTGGTGCCTCATCCTGAAATTATCTTAGGGGTTCTACCCTGAGCCACCTCATTAGCATAAACTCAGGTATAATCAAAGGAATTTGACATGCATAACAGTAGACACTTTTCTATTTTGTTTTTTATTTTGTTCATTAGATTCTACATATAAGTGAGATCATATGGTATTTGTCTTTCTCTGACTGGATTCACTTAGCATAATACTCCCTAGGTCCATCCATGCTATCACATGTGCTAAAATTTCCTTCTTTCTTACAGCCAAGTAGTGTTTCATCGTGTAAATATCCCACAGCCTTTTTACCCACTCATCCATGGATGAGCACTTCAGCTTTTCTAAATCTCGGCTACTAAAGAATGAACTGATGGGCTCAATTACTCTCAGATATATTCCCAGAATTAGAATCACTTGGTCATAAGGTAGTTGCATCATTTTCCACAGAGGCTGTGCCAGTCTGCATTCCTACCAGCAGTACACAAGGGTTTCCTTTTCTCCACATCATCAGCACTTGTTGTTTGTTCATTTTTTGGTAAAGATTTTATTTATTTTTAGAGACAGGGGGAAGGGAAGGAGAAAGAGAGGGAGAGAAACATCAACGTGTGGTTGCCTCTCGTGCACCCCGCACTGGGGTCTGGCCTGCCACCCAGGCCTGTGCCCTGACTGGGAATCGAACCAGTGACCCTTTGATTCTCAGGCCGGCGCTTAATACACTGAGCCACAACAGCCAGGGCTGCATGAGTTTTTAAAATATTTTGAATATTTACCCCTTATCATATATTATATACCATCTTAATAGGGAAAGGAGGAAAAGGACACTGATGGGAAAACAAATGACCCTGAGGAAAGATAAATAAGCCCTCAGGAGAACAGATGGGAGACACATTAGTTTGCTACAACATTAGTTTAGGTGATTTCTCATCCTGGACTCACGTGAAGGGAGTCAAACTTCTCTGGTTGTGAAAATCCTAGGGAGACAATTTATGACATTTGAATTCTTTTTGGAGGGTCTGTTTTTAGGCAGATAAGGGGAAGTTCAACAAAAACCTCTTCCTGCATCTGTTAATTCTCAAATATCTTCAGCTCAAAATAATCCTTATAACACAGTGGTATATTTTGAACCTCTCCAATCATTACAGGGGAGGGTTGGGGTTGGACAGGAGCTGTTGGTTTTCTAGACATTCTTCCAGGTTGTCCTCCTTGGCTGAGGTTGGGGCATGTGGGGCCTCTGCTCCTTATCAGCCTTGCTCAGGGCTAAGCTGGAATTAGTCCACCACCTCCCTGTAGCCCCTCCCCTGTGGTGCGATGGCTTGACTGCAGGC